ATGTGAATGCTGCTATTTGTTAATGGAAGTTTGTTGCGTCTTAAAAAAAAAAAAAAATCCTGTAGAGAGAAGAGTGGTTCAGGGGAGTTAGTCACTCATGAGGAATGAGGGCTGGACAGACAGAGAGAACACAGGGAGTTGGTGAATGGCTCTGTTTTAGAGCCAGGTACACATATCAGTCTCCCTGCTTCCCACACAGGGCTCTCCTGGAGGCCTCGCCACTGCCATAGTGTATCCCACCCCCACCCCAGAACCTTTGGGGTCTTTGCACATGGTGAATGTGTTTGGAAGGGGAGAGGACAAGGAAGCCAGAAAGGAGGGAAACTTTTTCCTGAGTAAGGTGGAAAGAGGGAAGTTAGCCTGGACACATTTATTCATTCTTTCATTCCAAAAAATCATCAAGTATACCTTTCACAGCTAAGATCAGGGAGTTCAAGAAACACAAGAGTGCTGTGCTCACTGTCCTGAAACCCTCCGGGTGAAGAGAAATGATTTCTGCCACATTTTGAAGTCTAAATTACATGCCGTGGAATCTATTTGAAAAGAGGATGTAGGAGTCAGGGCCAGGGAGAGCGCGAACTGGTTCACCCTTGCCCATCTACCATGGTCCACTCCTACAGAGGGCAGTGGGGTGCTCCCCAGAGGGAGGCAGAGAATTAAGAGACAGGACTGAGGGGAGCGGTTCCCCTGGTCACATGGGGCAGCACAGGTGGGGTCTGCCCCATCCTGCACAGACCAGCAGGAACTCCACATGCAGATGAGTCCTCTCCTTCTCTGCCCTTTTGGTCACGAGAGTAGCCAAGTGAAGCGTGTAGATGACTCAGGGCCACCCGTCCCTACTACAGGAAAAACAACTCAGAGGACATTCCCAGCGGGAGTGGGCCAAGAGTGTCAGCTCCCACTCGAGGGAGAGGTGGGTGTTGTGACTGGAGATGAGTCCACCAGGTGACAAGGGTGATGGAGAAAGAGAGGGGAGGAGGGGGAAAGGCCTTCTGCCTGAGCCGAGAGGAGCAGAGGCAGGGAGGAGCCTGGGTCCTGGGCTTCCGAGGGACTCTGGGTGTCCTCTGTCCACCTCTACTGTCACAAATTATATCTGTTTTCAAGCTTTCCCTCATCTTTGTCTACTCCATTTCCTTTTCCCCAGCCTCTCCCAGGTCTACAAAGTTTCCCTCCATGGAATCCTTGTTCTAGAACTTCTGCCCTGACATTTAGACCCACTGGTGAAATGGAAGGGTGGAAAGCTGCGTGTGAGGGACCTCGTGTGCCCCTTACTCCCTGGCTTAAAGGTCCTTAACTTCTGAGACTTGGAGAGAAGCAGGAACCTTCTCTCTGGAAAAAGAGATGCATGAGGAATTTCACACACATGCTTACAGGGTGTGAGGAAGCTCTGAAGCCTGTCTGTGAAGCACTGCCATAGTGTGAGGCACAGCGCTGGGGTGCAGAGTGGAAGGATCTCAGTGGGCTTAGAGGCCCCGCAGACTTGGGTTGGAGTCTTTTCCAGACTTTTTTTTTTGCTTTTTAGCAGCTGGCTCAGACATATTGTTTAAACTCAGTTTCCTCCTTTGGGAAAAAGGGAGAGAAGCGTTTACCCCAAGGGACCATAGTGAAGATTCAACGTGACAATAAAGATCCAGTACCAGGTTGGGCAGTCAGTCAATGGGGCTCTCCTCCCCTGGCTTCCTCTTTGACCATACAAGTCTATTCAAAAGCCTTTGGTTCCCTGTGTCCTCTATATTTACTCCATTTCCTATAAAATCCAAGTTTCTTTTGCCTGGTGTTAAAGGTCACTAGGAATCCTGGTGCTAACAGGCTGGTTATCCGTCCACCCTACTGTTCCTGTGCATGTGCCCGGTCATCCACTTGTTCTCAGTACACCCCAAGGACAGACCCACCACCAGGCCCTAGGTCTGAGCTTCCTGCTCTTCTCATCACTCCTCAAGGCCCAGGAAAAATCTGCCACCTACTCAAAGCCAAGGACCTGCCTTTTCCACTCAAGGCTTCTCTCTGTGCTGCATGTCGACAGCTGGTCTGCAGCTCCTTCAGGGCAAGGAATAATCCATCTTCCTCTTCACTGAACTTCCAAAGCACAGGTGTGGTGAGCCAGTTCCTGGCAGAGAGGAGACTGGAGTGGATAGCCACCTTCTTCCTCACAGATGCAAGGCAGGGACTCCCATCTCTTGTCTGCAGAAGGCACCACTTTGAACTTGATTTTCCTTCTGGGGGAGGGGGTTGCTCATTCCACCCACGTTTTCTCACCCAGTCCTCCCTCTGCTCTGGTCCTTCTGCTGGAGTCAGTACAGTCTCACTGTGGAATCCAGCTGAACTGCTTGTACTACTATGGACATCCCCAGACTGACCAGCTCCCCATAGGATGACCCTGCCCTATGTGGGCACTCAACCAATGTCCCTTCCCTTCCTTCCTTAGCCCGTTAACTTCAGGGTTTCCCTGCCTGAGCTGAGAGAAAGGCTAATGGTGAGGACAAAGAACACAGCAGAATAAAATAGAGCTACACCCCCTAACTGCAAGGGACACAGTCCAAGACCCCCAGTGACGACTGAAACAGTGGCTACTACCTGACCCTATGTGTACTATACTATGATTTTTCCTGTCTATACGTATCTATGATAAAGATTAATTTATACATTAAGCACAGGAAGATTAACAACAATAAAATAGAACAATTATAACTATATTTTATGATGAAAGTTATTTAAAACTTATGACTTGTTTATTTCTGGAATTTTATATTTACCCACCAAAAGCAACTGAAAAGTGAAACCATGGATGGGGGACAGGGACCACTGCACAGGGGAGCTGATGGGACTTCAGGGAGGGCTGACTGGAGCTTCAGGGCCCAGAGGTAGGAAGGACAGTTGGGGACCTGGGCAGCCCAGGGTGGCAGGATGAGAGGAAGAGTGGAAATAGAACAGGAGGGGAGCAGCCCACGGAGGAATGCCCATGTGGGTGGTTGGAGACTTGCCTGGAGGCCGAGAGAGACAGCCTCCTCCAGCCCGACTGTCCTGGCCAAAGGCTGACAGCAGCCAGGAGGAATGTGAAGAAGAAAACAAGACTCTGGCTGCTCAGGGGAGGCATGTGCTGGAAAAGAACAACCCAGAGTCCCTGCATTCTCTCCACCCACTTGGGGACAGCCCAGCTGCTCTCCGCCATAAGGCTCCTTTCCCCTCTTCTCCCTGCCACTCCTGTCCCTGCTCCACACCCTTTCCCCTTCCCTAGATCCTAGATGGGGCCTGAGAGTCTAGGGAGGGGCGCTGATGTCCTGAGAGAGCAACATCATTTTAAACAGCCCGGGCCTCAGGTTTTCTACCCAAGGTGGGAAGGGAGCAGAGGAGAGTCTCCCAGTGGGGGATGGGCTAGAGAGAGCCTGGGCTGTGGGTAAACCCTTCTACTATTTGTTTTCCCCCAAAGGGAGGATGCAGGCAGGAGCAGCAGTGGGGCTCCATTTCCTGAGTACCCATGCCAGGGGGACTGTGCCCTTGTATCATTCTTTCTGATAATTTCCTATATGATCTTTACAAAAACCTTCCAAGGCAGGCATTAATTAGAGTTAAGTGAAATTCCTCAGTGAATTCCAAGAGTTCAGTAGTCCCACGTGCCTAGTGGCTATAGCATCAGACAGCACAGATACAGGACATCTCCATCACCATGCTGGCCACAAATCCAAGGCAGGTCAGGAGGCAGAGAGAACAGGATAGACCAACCAAAGGGCTCCAAGGACAGAGCTACCTTTGTGAGGAGACAAGAAGTTCTAGAAATGGGTTCAGGTGAGGGGAGGAGGACTTCACGGGGCTGGTGGCTGTTTGAGGAGACTGGGTAGGAGGACAGCCTCCTGGGCACCTCCCTTTGATACTGATACTCCCCTACTCTCTACTCTCGGCAACACCGGTGAGAAATTGGTCAGGGTGGGGCCAGGACCAGAGCAGGAGGGAGGGAGATGCAGTGGAGGAGAAACCACCACCTCCCAGCAGATCCCAGGGCTCTTTGCCTTCTGTCTTTCAGGAACTCAGGAGACTACCTGGGCCTCCTTTATCCCACTAAGACATGTCTAGCTACTGCTTCCTGTTCACTCATTCAGGCCAGAGAGCCAGCTAATGGGCTGCCAGGCCACCACCTTTCCAATTAGCCTTATTAGCCTCTTGCTCACCCTGAGAAGTCTAGGTCACCACCTTGGGGGAGAGGCTATGAGTGGCTTGTGAGTAACTGAGGCCCAGCTATGACAGGGGTCCCCAGCCCAGGCCTCTTCCCAGGCTGAGTTCTGACACCCAGTGCCCCTCATACTGTCCTTGGGACCCCCCAGAAGGGAGATGCCAATGAGCTGGCTTTCAGAATGTGGATGTTCAATTTCTGAGAGGGAAAAGGTTCACTCACTGATAGACACATAATGGGTAAGTGGCAAGCAGGCGCTTGAGCAACAGCAGCAGCAAAAGACAGAGGTGTGGGGGCAGATCTTCATATCTGAAGAAGGGAAGTAGAAGCTGAGTAACAGGAGCCCAAGGAAATGGGCAGACCTAGGGCTGTGGATGGGAACCCAGTGGGGCCAGAACCATGCAGCAGGGTGAGGTGGGGGCTGGAGCAGGGGTGGGGTACTTCCCAGGCACCAAAGGGAAAGCTGAAATGCCCACATCTTCGAGGGGAGGGAAGATGGGAGGATGGCAGTTGGGCAGGCCAACCCTGGGAGGCAGCGAGTGAAGGAACTGGAGACTGGGTCCCAGGGTGAGAGTGGCAGCACCAGAGTGGGTGGCCATAGGGCAGAGCACCTGGTTCCAGGTTAAGCAATGAGGATCCAGGGCAGGCCGGTCGGGCTGCAGGATCTGGGGCCCAGTGGCCATGGGTCCCCCACACTGTAGCCACCGCTGTTGCTGAGTAGGCAGATGCTCTGGCTGATTACTTCAGCTCCTCGGGCCACACCAACTGCCCCCGGGCACCCACCCCTTCCGCCCCTCCTCCCCTCCCCATAGTGACTCCTGCCCAGAGAATGTCCAGCCCTAACATAAAGGCCCTGGGTGTCCACGAGTTGCTGTCAGTCAGAAGGCCACGCCGTCCGAGATGGGCTCCTCTCGGGCACCCAAGATGGGGCGTGTGGGAGGGCAAGGGATGATGGCATTGTTGCTGGCTGGTCTCCTCCTGCCAGGTAGGAGGCTGGGGGCCCTGGGGGTGGGAGGGTAGGGTGGGAGAGAAGGAACACAGACCCAGGGGCAGGGAAGGCTGGGGGAATTCAGTGCCTGAGGAGGGTCTAGGAGAGAATCCAGCGAGGGAGAAAGGCAGGGGCTTTGGAATCTGACCTTTGAGTCTAGGGGCTGCTCCTCATTACTTTGTTACCTCAGGCAAGTTTCTTAAACTTGCCTTGGTTTCTGACACTCTAAGGTGGGGTTTAAAATAACACCTAGTACTAATTTTCCCTTGTGTCTCAAATTAGCTAATGTGTGTGACAGGTGTTTTGGAAGCTCTAGAGGGCTGTATCAATGTTGTGGTTGTCATTATGGAACACTAGTAGGTGAAGATTGGATATTTTGTAGTAAAAAGAATTGCTACCATTTTTGGAGGTTTTCGTTTCTGTTTTTCCGTACTGCAGATTGAACCCAGGGGTGCTTAATGACTGAGCCACATCCCCAGCCCTTTTTATTTTTTATTTTGAGACAGGGTCTTGCTAAATTGCTCAGGGCCTCACTAAACTGATGAGCTGGCTTTGAACTTGGGATCCCCAAGCTGCTGGGATCACAGATATGTGCCCCAAAGTTCTGTTTTGGAATTATTTTTAATGTGTCAGACATTGTTCTAGCACTTCAAATATAGTAGCATTTTTGATTATAATAAAAACAATAAGAGAATATTTATGGTTCTCTTTTTACAAGGCTCCCAGAGGTTAGGAAACTGGCTCAGGATCATGGTTAGAAGCAGTTCAGCCAGGATTCAAACCCCAGGCTGGGTAGTTTTTGGGCCTGTACTGTTGACCACCAGGTGTTTATGGCCCTTGAGGCTTTTCTGTGACCTTCCCCCCTTGGTTGGGTGGGCAGGTGGAGAGCAGGGTGCACATCGTCTGGGGGAGCAATGGAGGAGGCGGGAGTGCTAGATGATTTCACGTGGAGTGAGGGGCAGTGGCAGAGCTGGTGCATGGAGGTTCACGCAGAGGATTTCTTTTTGAGGAGAGACTAGGGATGCTGCAGACTAGAGGTCTGGTTGTTGGTGGAGAGCTCAATGATGAGTAGCAATAAATAATGAATCATAATGTCTAAGGCTTTCTGTTTTTGAAAGTAGGTGATCTCACTCAGTCTCATAGTAATGCTGTAAGGAAAGCAGGACAGATTTGGCCTCCTGTGTGTGTGAAACTCAGAGAAGTTTAGTGATCTGCTAGTGTGGGCTCTGTCCATGCCATCTAGGACCCAAAAGGACAAAGGTGGGCAGAAGACATTTAGGTAATAGAGAGCGGTGAAGACAAACTGGGGTAAGCTGAGCCTGGGGGTTAGGAGCAGAGGAATGGTTAAAGAAGAAGTGATTCCACAGCTGAGGCAAATAAAGGCAGCAGGAGTCAGATACAGGGCTGGGTGGGGACAGCAGGTGCACATGTGCGAAGGCTGGGTGGGGAGCAGGGAAAGCTGATAATGGTCACGTGCCTCCAAGGAGGGTTTCATGCTGGTGTCCCTAGGCTGGGCCAGTGAGAGCAGGGGTGGCTTAGGGCACGGTGTCCTGTCACACTGGTACCAGCAGGTTCTGAAGCAACAGGTGAGTGCCCCCACATCCGGGCCCCCACCCAGCTTCACTGGCATGGTCAGCACTGAGACAGGAATCAGGATTTCCATCCTCCCCTCAGCCTGTTCTCTAGGAGGGAGCTGGTGACCAAGTGTTACCCTCTTCTTTGTGTTGGTCCCTCTGCCACTGGGTGTCTCTTTTCCCATTATCTTTTTTTTTTTTTTTTTTTTTTTTGTATTTTCTCTTCTATTGTTTCGCCTTCTATCTTTTCTTTCTGTTTGGTCCCAGGGTCTGGCCCGGGATTTTTCTCCTCCAGATTTCCCTACCTCTCAGAGTTTCAGCCTCGCCACTGTCTTCTTTTTGACCTAGTTGTTCCTGGACCTGTCTGTTCACATTCTTCACTCTCTGCTGCTTACTCCTCCAATGCCTCCCCCTTTGGAGGCTGGCTACTTCTCTAGTAAATGTTGAACCTCTTCCCCACCCAACACCACGCTCCCAGAACAATGAAACTGCCCTTATTCTGCCACCCTGATATCCTTTAGAGACAACAACCACTTCTCCCTCCCTTTTCTTCTGCTGTCAAAATCTCATAGGGCTCACCTGTCATCCCAGCCTCGTGGGAGGCTGAGGCAGGAGGAGCACGAGTTCAAAGCCAGCCTCAGCAATTTAGCAAGGCACTAAGCAATTCAGTGAGACCCTGTCTCTAAATAAAATACAAAATAGGGCTGGGGATGTGGCTCAGTGGTCGAGTGCCCCCGAGTTCAATCCCCAGTATCCCCACCCTCAAAAAAAAAAAAATCTCATAGGCTCCACTCTGGAGAAATCAGCATGGAGGAGGACTTGGGATTGGTCTAAAAGGTAAGAGAGAAAGCCAGGCTCCTCTCTGGCCCTTACTGACGGCTACTTTCCTCCCCAGGAACTTTGGCTAAGAGCATCGGGACCCTTTCAGACCCCTGTAAGGACCCCACACGAATCACTTCTCCGAACAACCCATGTCTCACTGGAAAGGGTGGCTCCAGCAGCTTCAGTAGCCAAAGTGGCTCCAGCAGCTTCAGCAACTCCATTTCCAGTTCCAGTGGCTCCAGTGGTGGCTCCAGTGGTGGATCCAGCAGTTCTAGTATCTCCAGTGGTGGTTCCAGTGGTGGCTTCAGTGGTGGCTCCAGGGGTGGTTCCAGTGGTGGCTCCAGTGGTTATAGTATCTCCAGTGGTGGCTCCAGTGGATCCAGTTTCTACCAGGGTGGTTCTGCAGGATCTGCATTATTTAAACCAGGATCAGGATATCCCAAAGGAACAGGGGATGGCTCTGCTCTACCGGTCAATGATAAGTCTCATATGTCTGGAGGAAGCTCTTCCTTTTCCCAAACCTCTCAGATGTCCAGCAGCAGTAGTCAAAGCAGCAGCTCCAACCTGCGTCCCTGTAGCTCAGATGTCCCTGACTCTCCCTGCAGTGGGGGACCCATTGTCTCACATTCTGGCCCCTACATCTCCAGTTCCCACTCTGTGTCAGGGGGGCAGAGGCCCGTAGTAGTGGTGGTGGAGCAGCATGGCTCTGGTGGCCCTGGAGTGATTCAAGGTAGCCCCTGTAGCAATGGTGGCCTCCCAGGCAAGCCCTGCCCCCCCATCACATCTGTACAGCAATCCTATGGTGGCTATGAGGTGGTAGGTGGCTCCTCTGACAGCTATCTGGTCCCAGGCATGACCTATAGCAAGGGTAAAATCTACCCTGTGGGCTACTTCACCAAAGATAACCCTGTCAAGGGGTCTCCAGGGTCCCCGTCCTTTGCAGCTGGGCCCCCCATCTCAGAGGGAAAATACTTTTCCAGCAATCCCATCATCCCCAGCCACAGCTCATCTAGTTCCAACATACACCAGTCAGGAGCTTCCTCAGCCATTGCATTCCAGCCTGTGGGCTCTGGTGGGGTCCAGCCCTGTGGAGTCGGCTTCACAGGACCTAAGGGACCCTGCTCCCCTTCTGGTTCTGGAGTGCATATCAGTTCTAGCATATCCAGCAATTCCGGTTCATCCTACCACCCCTGCAGTGGTGTCTCCCAGGGTCCCTGCTCCCCACCAGGCACTGGCTCCTTAGGAGGCAGCTCCAGCTCCAGCTCCAGCTCCAGCTCCCTATCCAGTGGCAAAATCATCCTTCAGCCCTGCAGCATCAAGTCCAGCTCTTCTGGTCAACCTTGCATTTCTGTTTCCTCCTCGACATTGAGTGGGGGTCCCGATGGCTCTCCTCAGCCTGATCCCTCTGCTGGTGCCAAGCCCTGTGGCCTCAGCAGCCCTGGAAGGATCCCTTGCCGCTCTATCCGGGACATCCTGACCCAAGTGAAGCCTCTAGGGCCCCAGCTAGCTGACCCTGAAGTTTTCCTACCCCAGGGAGAGTCACTTGACAGTCCATAAGTCAGCTTTTTGTACATGCATGCACGGGCACACACATATACACATACCATCTCCCAGCTGGGAGACATCCAGGGGCCCAGACATGGGGTTAGCTCATATCCTCTCTAAAAGAGCTGCTCTGCCTCCTCCAGTATTCCAGTGTTGCAAACTCTCCCTTATTACCTCTTCTTTCTTCTCCTCCTATCACTCACTAGCCCAAATGGTAGACTCCAAATCCCTTTCCCCATTCTCTCCGATATCTTAGATCCCATTCTACTGCAGTGCCATTTCTACCAGAACACCACCCCTTAAATTTTCCTTGGGTATTTCTTTGAGATAGTCCATTAACAAAACCCACCTACTCAGGTTCTTGACTAGGAAACCCCTGATCTCTGATGCCTGGACAAGTCATTCCTTCCTTTGCCAGATAAAGCAAAGTCCAAATTGTTACCCGAAGATAATGACCATGTTTCACTGACCTGTCTTCACCATCTGCTCAACCAAACCTCTATACCACTGGATGCTGTTTCCAACACACCCTTGCATCAAAAAGCCAGCCCTCTCCCTGGCTGTCGCTTCTCTCAATGCTGAGATGCTGCCCTGTGTGAGACACCAGGGCACCTGCTGAGAATGGAGCCATCTCCCTGCTTTCTCTGGATCCTGGACATGGCTCAATAAACTGTGTGAACTCGATGCAGAATTTTTGCCTTCTTAGAGTCCTGGGTCTCCTCCTAGGACATGGGTGGTGAACCTCCTGTGCCTCTAGAGGTCTCCATGTCCCTGTTTCCATTCATAAGTTGGCCCAGTATTTCTTTCATGCCTTACAGCTACTCCCACAAAGAAGGAAAACAATAAATATTTGTTGAACTGAAAGCAGAAGTTGCCTGGTTTCCCAGACCCTTCCATCCACTTTCCCCCTCTCTCTTGGCTCCAGGAGATCCAGTCTCTCTCTACTCCCCATTCACACTGGAGTCCTTTTCTCCCTTATATAAAATCCTCATTATTTCCTTCCCCTCTCCACCCAAGTTCTGTCTCCTCTACCATTAGTGTGCCTCACCTTCTAGACGCCATCCTCTCTGGGAGTCCCCAGCGTTGATGACTTCCTGGGTTTCTGGAACACCTGGAACTCTGGGAAGGCTTAGATACAACAACTCAGACCAGATTCTTTGTGAATGAATAAGAGCCTGGTTGTTCTGGGAGCTGGGGGCGGAGAGAGTGAGACAAGATGGGAGGCTGGCAGGAAGTGCAGCCAAGCATGTTGACTCACTTAACAAGATGCAGACCATGCAGACCAGAGCCAACAGTGTCCTCTCTGCTTCCATACACTTGCTGCTTCTGCTGTGGATCCAGAGTGAGAGCTGTGGTCGGTTAAGAGGTTAGAGTGCTCAAGTGCAGAAGGGAAGGTGGCCTTCATGGAAAAGAGAAGAAAAAGTAGAGAGTATGGACAGGGTCATGTAATCTACATCCTTAGATGGCAGAGGAGAAGCTGAGGTTGAGGATGCTCTTACATTCCAAGGAGGGCAGGGGGCACTATGTGTCCTGATAGAAAGGCCTCATTGGCCACTTCTCAGAGCCCTTTCTTTGCTGCAAAGAAATCCACCCCATCCTAGGATCTAACCTTTCCCCTCCTTTCAAAGTGGAGTAGGCTTGTACTGAATTTAGAACTGCTGAAGTTCCAAGTTCAGAACCAGCAGCAATATGTTACATTGACTAGAAATGACCTAGGGCAGCTGAACCAAATTTCAGGGTTGATTGGAGACAAAGTAGGGCTCCAAACAGTCCTATTTCTGTCATTACTGTAGAGTCACCCTTGGTTCAGCACCTGGTCCCCAAACTTCAGTCAATGGCAGGAAAAAAAGCTCTCAGAAGTTCTCTAGATGGGAAAAGTAGGGGAGATAGGCCCTGTGATACGGCGACTCTAGTTTCTGAAGTGGACCAGGTTAAAAGTTTTGTAAAATTGCTGGATGTTTCCAAAAAGGGGTACTGTGCTCCCTGTACTACAGAGTTCTGTCACTCTTCCAGTACCTAGCCCACAGGGTCAGAGGATGAGACCAGATCAATAAAATTGTGTAACAGCTCACATTTTTCCTCAAGCAACCAGGAGCCTATCTAATGTGTGTGTATGTGTGCGGGGGTTGGGTTCCCAGAAGAAATGAAGAGAACAAAGGCATTTGTGTGTGTGTGTGTGTGTGTGTGTGTTCCTGATGATTGAATCCAGGGCTCAGTGTATTTCTGCCACTGAGCTATAGACCAGCCCTTAACTTTTTATTTAAACATTTTTAAAATATTTGTATTTCACAGCCAACTTTCTGTGCCATAACAAAATACTTGACTCTAAGTAATGTACAGTGAATAGAGGTTCATTTAACTAGGTTCAAGAGCATGGAACTAGCAACTGCTAGGCTCTGGTGAGGACCCCCACCCCCACCCCTTGACTATGTCCCAACATGTCAGAATTGCATGTGAGAGGGAGAGATCACATGGCAAGACAGGATGCCAGAAAATTCCATGGTCTGGCTCACTCTTTTTTTTTAAAACACCCATTAGTGAATTAGTGGGAACTAATTCACTCCAAGAGTCCAACATTGATCATTCCAATGACCTAATTGCTTTCCATTAGGCCTCGCCTCTAAAAAGTTTACCACTTCTCAATACTGCCACACTAGGGACCATGCTTCAGTATACAAATCTGTGGGGGACACAGCCAAACCATATGTAAAACATACCAATATTTAAAAATAGACAAAGAGTTAACAGACCCTATTCTCCCACCACTCTGCTGCAAGTCATGGCCATTTGACAATAGCATTTAAATGTCCAGCTCTATTATTCCTTGGAAACAGCTGCTCTCTCTCAGTATTTCATACATTTTATGAACATATCTGACCATATGCCCAACACCCCCAATACCACCAAAGATGTCCATGTTCTCATCATTGGAACCCATGAATATGTCATATTACATGGCAAAGAAAAATAAGGTTGTGGATGGAGTTAAGGTTGTTAGTCATTCTACCTTGATTTAAGGGGATTATCCTGGATTATTTGGGTGGATCCAACATAATCACAGGTTTTAAAAAGTGCATATGGGAGGCAAAAGGAAGACACTTGATACAGTGTAAGAAGAACCTGGTGTTTGGGAAAGATAGACCATGTTTGGAATCACCAGCCAAGGAATGCAGGTAGTCCTAGAAACTGGAAAAGGAGAGTTAACAGATTAGATTGTTCTCTAAAATCCTGATGACACCTTGATTTTTAACCTGGAGACTTTTTTTTTTTAACTGGGGATTGAAACCAGAGGGGCTTTATCATTGAGCTATATTTCCATCCAGCCCTTTCATTTTGAAACTAAGTTGCATAGGGCCTCACTAATTTGCCCAGGCTGGCCTCTAATTTCCTGTCTCAGACTTCCCATTTGCTAGTATTACAGATGCATACTACCACACTTTGATTGAGACTCATTTTGGACTTTTGACTTCCAAAACTGTAACATAATACATTTGACTTCCAAAACTGTAACACTAAGTTTGTGGTACTTTGTTACAGCAGCAACAGGAAATTAATACACTATCATCTCATGGATGGGAACTAGTTATATTTCCCTAGATATAGGGAAGGAGATATGTGTAGAAGCAGTTCCTCAGATGCGGGGCCACTCCGTGCCCCAGAATCCCCTGTAGGTGGGGTTCAAGATGGAGATATGGGCATGCATGAAGGAGAGTGCTGGGTGAGAATGATCTGGATCACAAAGAGAGAGAAGAACCAAGTTTTTCTATTACTGATGGAAGCAATGAGGATGTTGGGACCCCTAAGGGTGAAGGTCCTAGTGGGCCTGATGTAGGGACTAGGGAAAGGCAGATCTGGCAACCAAGAATGAGCTGTGGGCCAGAACACCTGGATCAAGAAGAGGCAGGGAGTTTAAGGAAAGGAGCCAGGCATAGAAACACCCAGCTTTCTCTGGGACATTCAAGTGACACCTGTTGCCACAGACTGAATCAAGAATGAGGGTGGACCGTGAGATCTATTGTCTCTAAAACCACTGGCCCAGCCTGTTTCTTCTGTCCCTCACCCCACTAACAGGATAAAGGTGCTGTCTTGGACTGAAGGAGATGCTGGAGACGAGCAGGATGCTGGCCCGTGTGGCAGGGAGTCGGGTTCCTCTGGGCCTGCTCCTGGTCTGTCTGCATCTCCCAGGTATGAAGTCCATGCCTGGTCCTTGGGCAGGAGGGGACATGGGCCCCTCCAGAGCTGGAATAACAGGGAGGGTAAAGGCAGCAGGATATACACAGAGGGTACAGATTTGGGTCCCTGAAGAGATAAGAATTGGTGTTGGGGAAGTGAAGGGACTTTTAGTGAAGAGAATCAGGAAAAGGAGGATGTTTGGTACCAAAATGAGTCCATTGACTGCTTGTCTTCCCTTCCCTCAGGCTTCTTTGCCCGGAGCATCGGTGCCATGGAGGAGAAAGTTTCTCCACACTTGGGGACAAACTTGCCTCTGCTGGGACAACCTTCCTTCACTGGTCCCACCAACTACGGACATCCTCAGCCGAAACCAAACTCTGAGTCTAATGACTTAGAGGGAGTTCCTCTCAAGCCCAATATTCCTCCACCAGATGGCTCCCAACCTGCAGGAGGATCTGGGGTGCGGAGGTGGCCTCCATCCTGGGGGCCTCCTCTGGGGTTCTGGCCCTCTGAGGATCCTTGGCAGGTGATGGATGCTGCAAATGAGGACCAGCTGGGAGAGATGCCACCTGAAGGACTGCCTTACCTTTCCAGTGCTGGTGCTGTCCCACTGGGTGGCCGTCCTTTGTCTGTGGCATCCTCTGCTCACCAGGAAGAGCCCTCATCTGAGACTTCACTTCTCCAGCAGGACTCAAAGTCAGGACAGCTGCCACGTTCTAACCTGCTGGGAGCCCAGAGACAAGCTCTTTCCCAGCACCCTTTCTGGTCTCTCATCCATAGGCTTCTTCCTGGCCTCCCCTGGGGGACCCTGAATCCTGGTGTGTCCTGGGGAGGCGGAGGTCCTGGGACTGGATGGGGAACAAGGCCCATAGCACGCCCTCCTGGAACCTGGGGTATCCATAATCAATTCCCAGGTAGAATCTGGGGGAATATTAATCGGTATCCTGGAAGCATCTGGGGGAATATTAATCAGTATCCTGGAAGCATCTGGGGGAATATTAATCGGTATCCAGGTACCAGCTGGGGGAATATTCATTTGCGCCCAGGTATCAATAATCGGTTTCCTCCAGGAGTTCTTCATCCTCCTGGCCTCTCTTGGAACACCCCAGCTGGTTTCCCTAATCCTCAGAACCCTGATGAGCAGTGGGAGTAGAGATGGTGAGAGGAACCCCGAGTCAGAGGAGGGAGTGGAGCTCCAGCCCCTCATGATACAAGTTGAATCAGGTTCCATCAGCACTTTCCAACATTATCCCCATTTTTACCTCCTCCCTTACTGCTCTACGCTAATCTCCAATAAAATATAAGCAACTCTTGAATTTGCTATTTGTCGGTGTCTTTGTTTCTGGGTATAAACTGAAGTGCATTTGGTCCATCCCAGTTTTCTAGCCATCCCCATGTTTCTCTAAGGTTCCCTGTGAACTGACCCTCTCTTGTCATCCCCATCTTTGTGAAATATCAAAGCCCAGGTGTATGTGGGTGGAGCCTCATGGTCTCACCTTGTCTGGGTGGGAGGGCTGGTTTCAGAATGGTCTCTCTGGCGTCTCATCCATAGGCTTCTGCTTGGCCTCCCCTGGGGGACTCTGAATCCTGGTGTGTTCTGGGGAGGGGGAGGTCCTGGGACTGGATGGGGAACAAGGACCATAGCACAGCCTCCTAGAATCTGGGGTATCCATAATCAATTCCCAAGTAGCAGTTGGGGGAA